ATTTTATTGTACTTAAATTCAAATTTAGAACTTACTGATGATTAGTATTGACTATTAAGCTAATATATGAAAATGGAACTGAAGAAATAGATTTGCTATAAAACTTCTCTAAAAGTAATGTATAGTCTATGGTTGTTCATTATTTTTGTTATTTTCTCGCCTGATCCATTATACTCCTGCTATGAGTGAAACCATCCGGTATTTTTCTTTCTCTTTCTGGCTTATCTCACTAAGCATGATCTTTTCCAGCTCCATCCAAGTTGCTGCAAAAGACATGTGTTTCTCTTTTTTGGTTGCTGAGTAATATTCCATTGTATATATGTACCACATCTTTCTAATCCAGCCATCTACTTTTGGGCATTTGGGCTGCTTCCATGTTTTTCCAATTGTAAATAAAGCAGTAATAAACATGGGGGTACAAGTATCTTTTTCAATCAGTGTTTTTGTGTCTTTTGGGTAGATACCTAGGAGTGGGATTGCTGTGGGGGTGGAGTGGGGAATGGGATCAAAAATGTGGGGGGGGAAGGGAGGGAAATGCACGGGACTATGGTGGTGGTACAGGGGTGATTTGGTGATGGGAAACCCGTGGGGATTACAATTGAGATGAAAAAAAAATGTGCAAAATGATGTAAAAATAAACTTTTTAATAAAAAAAAGTAATATATAGTGTTCAGAGTCAATTTAGTAATACTCATCGTATAATAAAGATAAACAAATGGATTTTTTTTTTCAATCCCAAACAGTGGTCTATATTTTCCCTTAAGATCAGGTAAAACAGGCCCTCCCTGGTGGTGCAGAGGGTTAAAGCACAGAACTGAGAAGCTAGTGCCACTTCCGCATGAGTTCGATTCCCGCCTGCTCCCGCAGGTGACCACATGGCGTGGCAGACCTCTTCTGACCCGCCCACTGCTCCCCTCAGCAGCGTACTTCGTGGATCTGCCTGTTCTGCTCCCCACTCTGTCTTTGGTGAAACCTCTCGCTGCCCCTGAGCCTCTGGCCTGTATCCCAGTTCTTTATGCACAAATAAATAAATCTTAAAAAAAAAAAAAAGGATCAGGTAAAACAATTAGTAACATAAAGATCATTATTTCATTTGTTTTATATGATATTAAGATTAGAAAGGATAGTGATGAATTCTTCAACAAGATTGAAAACATGCCTAATTTAGTGTACGGATTAGTAAAGATATTAATAATAATTTCTAGGTCCTTCAATATAGCCCTCTTTTTTCCGGGAAAGTAACAACTTCAGGTCACAGGGATGGACAAAATATGATGGATATAAGCACTTCTAGACTAATAATGTAAATCAAACATATGACCTATCTAAACTATACAGGGATAATCTATAATATAATCTGAGTGATTCAATTGGTCCCTAATTTAGATACAGTGATGCTGGTGTTAATTGGGAGGAGTAAAAAGTCCATGACATAAATAAATAGTTCCCTTTTAAATATTTAATAAATATCTTTATTTAAATTCCCTCCTTTTGAGAATGTCTTGTTTTCCTGAAAAAAATCACATTTGTTAGTCAGAAAGTACAATGAAAAATAAATCCTGCATCCATATTCAGTGATTCTCATTATAAATTACTTATATATAAAATTATAATATGAATTATAAATAATTACAGATTCCTTTTATTATAACTGAAACTATATACAGCATGTTTATCTGTTTAGGTGATTTTTCTCCTAGAATAATCTGAACATTATTGTATGAAAAGAAGTGCACTGGCATGTGACCAAGAAGTTTTGGGAATGATAGGACTACAAAACAGGACACTCCATATGTCTATTCAGATAGAAGATAGATGTTTACATTGGCTAATGAATTTTCAAATATTTTTGAGACATTAGAGAACATTGTTGAATTGTTGTTCAGCACTACAAAATAGTATTTTATGAGGGTACTGGTACTGTCATGTGGTAAAGTGCAGCACTATGAAACTGTCCACAGCCACTGCAGCACAAGTTCCATCCCCAGCCAGGGAGGTGACCCACATGGTGCAGCAGACCTCTCCTTTCTCGCCCAATGCTCCCCTCAGCAGTGTGTTTCAATAGATCTGTTTGTTCTGCTGCCACTCTGTCTCTGGTGAATCCTCTCACCCTTTTCACACACCATTGGCTTGTCCCCCAGTTCTTGTATGTATAAATAAATAAATCTTTAAAAAAAAAAAAAACTAGAATCTTATAAAGAGTGATTCAAATATGTAAGGCTAGGTCTTTCCCTGGCCTGTTAAATCTTTGCATTACATTTTGCATAGTGAATGTTGCTCATAACAAGTGCAGCACAATTTAACTAATGAGAATATCACTCATCTTGGTCCTGAGAAGTCCAATTGCATAGAACGTTGGGGTAATGGACATGAAGAGAAGAGGGAGGCAGAAGAGGCAGAATGGGCAGAAGAGGGAGGTGCCCTCGTGGATTGCCTCCTGTTCCTGCCCTATGCACTGCTGTCAGAGAGGCTGCAGGTTTTCCATCCATAAGTGAAAATCCTGGCTGTTTGACCTCAGAAAATAGTTAGCTTCTAGGTTTCTTATTGTGCTCAAACACAATATGGGAATAATAATAGCCAACATGAAAGACACATGAAGATGAAGCGAGTAGAATATAAATAAAGAATCAACCATCACAGAGGAATAAACACTGAGAATCAGTGTATATGTGCTAAATGAGGCCACGACCCTGGTTTAATGCACTTGCCATTCCTCCCCGGCAGGGTGCAGCTACTTTCATCATGGCTTACTCTTCGTCGCTACCTATTCTTTCTTTGGGGCCAGCGAGATACATGTGCAGTCTGGGGTGGGGGGTGGGGGGGGACTGGAGAAGGCAAAGGCAATTTACTGCCTGCTGCTTACATTATTTGGAGTTAATTCTGTCCGGCTTCCCTTGTCTCAGGAAGCTGGATATATAGCTCTTTATTCCTACTCATAATCACCAAGAATTTGAGGTGAAGAAAACAATACTGCTCTCCATTCAGTATTGTTACCTTTTGTGCTACCTCATACTGACCTAACAGAGGAAAAGTAAGCTGTGTCAGGTGTCACTGTGTTTTGGTTAAACGGTCTCTCAAATTTCTAATGCTTGTTTTTTCCTGGCTTTGGGTTACTGAGGAGACTGACAATTTCCACTCATTTCCCATGAATGCCCAACACTTTTTTTATAGCAGTAGTTATCATCTCCTTCTTAGAGAACATAAGACCTCCCTGGTCCATAGCCTCTACTTGGGTATATACATGACCATGGTGGCTTCTGTATTAACAAAGCATCAGGAGAGCAAACGCATGCTGCTTGTGAAAGCTGTATGTTTGCATATAAGAACATCACCATGCTCAGAATCATTACTCCCTTAGTTCAGTTCTAGATGTTAGCAGACGATGCATCTTCTCCCTGCTTGCAGGTTCATCACTTATTCCAGTTATCTAGCATACTTGAACCTTACTTTTTAAATATTTGTCTATTGATGCATACAAGAACTGGGATGAAGGCCAGAGGTATGGGGGTGGGGGTGAGAGGATTCACTAGAGACAGAGTGGGGAACAGAACAAGTGGATCTACTGAAACACACTGCTGAGGGGAGCAGTGGGTGAGGCAAGAGAGGCCTGCTGTGGCCTGTTGGTCATTTCCTTGGCCAGTGATCGAACTTGTGTTGTGGTGTCTATGGGTAGCTTCATAGTGCTGTGACCTAACCTCTTGCACCACCAGGAAGGCCCTTGTGCCTTACTTTCAAGGTCATAACTAAGAAATAATGGAATAAAAATTTATAAATGAAACATCCAACAAGGAATTAGAGCCATTAGGAGACTAGAAGTTTGGAATGTCTAACTTGGTAAGCTGGACTTAAAACCACCCAGTTAACCATCGTTTTAACACCTGTATTGGGAGAGTTTGGAAAGAGGATATGAACCTACTTGGAAAGACAGACAAACACTACCCAATTTTAGCTTCAAAGATCACAATCTATACTGAACTGATATGAAGACATCCCTTCTTTTTGCACAATTTTTATGCTTTTAAATAATTTCACTATCCTACTTGTAGGAGGCAGTTCTCACTATGTAAAATCTGTATTTTTCTCTATGTGGGAGTATTCTCACATTCTTGTCTAAGGGGGATTTACCAGAATTTGTAATCCCCTAAAGACTCCAAATAAAAACTGTTCACTTACAGATTAAGTTATGTTTTATGACTGAGTTATATATTAGCACTTTCATCATCTATTAAAAGGGTATTGAAGATCCATAGATGTTTGTGGAATACCATAGGTAAATTTTGATTCATTATTGGTGGTATGGTAGATGATGCATATTATGTTATTTGACTAAAGATAGGTCTTTGCCTACTTCTATCATACATTCCCCAAATATTTTTTTTAAATGATAGCATTCTTTCTCTCTCTCTCTCTCTCTCTCTCTCTCTCTCTTTTTAAAAAGATTTATTTATGTATGCATACAGAACTGAGGTACAAGTAAGAGGTTCAGGGATGGTGAGAGGATTCACCAAAGATAGAGTGTCTTCCCCAGATTTTTTAATGAACATGGCTACAACATTTTTATGGAGGATAAATAGTTTGGATTACTATAATATTTTTTATCTTTTCTTTGGACATCAGGCCATAGTAAATATATGTATTCTGCATCAAATGACTACGGTTTGATTTCTGGTGTAGCTATTTGAAACACAGCAAGCATGAAGACAACAGAGGTGTCATCAAACCTTGTACCACTCTTCATAAGCTGGTGTGAATGAGAAAAGGTCAGTAAAAGAATTGTTGTCCTTCCTGTCATTCTTTCTATCAAGTCAACTTGATATAGAAATGGGAAAGAAAGCTTTTGTGTTATTTTCTTTATTTAGAGAGCATAATCTTTGACCCTGGAAATAAAAACTCTCTCTCTCTCTCTCTCTCTCTCACACACACACACACACACACACACACACACACACACGTACATGCCCACCAGTAAATCCAGGCCAGATAGTGATGCTGTTACTGACCGTCACAGCAGTCTTGCCATACTCGCAGGTCGACCTTTGGTATCTCTGTGCAGCTCACATAATCCTGTGGGTATTCTGCCTTCACGAAGACGTCTGCCTGGACCTGCTGAATGTTGTCACCATTGTCACAAAGCACACGGCCCAATGATGCCTGTTTCAGTTGAGTGAGTTGTGCAGGGGTAAACACGCCAGGGTTTTCATACCAGAACCTTGGTCAAAAAAACAAAAGAGCAATGTGTCAGGGACGCAGACTGAGCCCTGGGCAGCAGGCAGAGCAGTGGTGATGAGAAGGAGGGCTGAATGAAAGAGCCATGTGCCAAGGATTACACTTGTACTCCCACTGGGAATGCTTTGAATCGCCACCAGTATTTTTAAAATTCTTAAATGCAAGCTTATAAACTATCTACTTCTGTTCATGTTTTAGAAAATGATTTGCAATAAAACTCCAGGTCTTTTCTTTAAAAAAAAAGAAAGAAAGAAAGAAAGGAAGAAAGCATAGCTCTTAATCTAAAATCCATGAACTAGCTTTAGAAATTATCTGAGTACTTTAATATTGTCATGCTTACCTAAAAGGGAAATATCAATTTTTAATACATGCTAATGATATCTATTGGATAATTGTTATAAATACATATAATTTAAATGAAAGGATATGTTTGAAAAATTATGTTTTCATTCATCAAAAAATATTTGAGAAAGTTCTTATGCCAAGAACTTTCTTGAAGTTACACATGTAACAGTAAATTAAGAAAGAAGCAGAAGTTTCCTTGCCACTCATGTGATATCATGGGATTCATGTGTTCTCAGCATATTCACATGTTGAAATACTAATGTTCAATACCTCAGAATGTGACTGTATGTGGAGATAGGATCTTTAAAGAGTTAGTTAAATAAAAATGGCACTATGGGCCATAATTCAATATAACGTGTGTCCTTATGTGAAAAGTATATGTGGATATAGGTACAAATGGAGGACCACGGGAAAACAAAGGGGGGAGATGGCAATCTACAATCAAGGGTGAGAACTCAGGAGGAACCAGACCTCCACCGCTGGATCCTAGACTTCTGACAACCAGAACTGTGAGTCTGTAAGTTTACTTTATTTATGCCCCTCATTCTACAGTACCTTGTTAAGGCAATGCTAGAAAAGTAATGTACATGCACTGCAACTTATTCAAGAAAACAAAGCTTTCCCATGTTTGTTAAGTTTTTTTATCTGATTTTCATTAATTTAAGCATGAAGAAATGGGGTACAGGCCAGAGGTGCAGGGGCAGTGAGATTCCCCAGAGATAGAATGGGGAGCATAACAAGCAGATCAATGAAGTACACTGCTGAGGGGAGCAGTGGGTAGGAGAGGAAAGGTCGGTTGTACCATGTTGACCACCTCTGGGCCTGGGATTGAACTCACACTGCAGCAGCCACGGCCTGGCTCAGCTTCTCAGTGCAGCACTCCTACCTGCTCCCACCAGGGAGGCCTTGTTTAGTTTTGGATTATCTCTGTTCTTAAATTATTATCAATTGCACATATTATCCCAAGTATATGATGCTATTAATCCAGAGTGCTGAAAGTATTTCATAAAAATTAATCCAATGAAATATTATACTATTAAGAATTGCCAATTTGTAATAAAAATAATTAAATATTGTATTACTTTCTTTACTGTTCATATATGAAATAATTTGGGAAGAAATATTTCAAGCAAAAACTAATCTTTAGTAAACTTGAATTAAACCTAAGTTCTCAGCAGTGCTTCAGTGTCATTTGTAGATATTTTCTGTAATAGCACAAAAAGTTGAATTGCCAAACAGATTCATACTTCTACAACCAGTTAAATCACTTTAAACCAGTTTAACTGGTACAACCAGTTAAAGCATAGCTCCATGAAGCTATCACAGTCACTGCAGCATGAGTTTAATCCCTACCCAGGGAGTTTACCCACATGATATTGCAGACCTCCCCTCAGCAGTATATTTCAGTAGATCTGCCTGTTCTTCTCCCCACTCAGTCTCAAGTGGGTCCTCTCACTCTCCGCACCTCTGGCCTGTACCCCAGTTCTGTATGTATAAATAAATAAATCTTTAAAAAAATAGTTTTGATTTTTCTTAGTTTTTATACTTGGTTAGTCAGCAATGAAAAAAAAAAATTAGTAAGTTGCATTTTCCCACCAATTGCCTACTATAATTTAATAAATACAATTTTATTTACAATAAACACCTTGGACAAATGAACAGATTTTGAAATTATTAGTAAATAACCTCAGCACATCTTTTTAAAGAAGTTCTGCCTCAAGTCAACACCTTCTTCAATGATGATGGGAACATGAAGTTTCATATCAACTGATAAATCCTGCCCTCCCAACATCACCTTCTGTTGCCACAATCCTATGCAATATTTATTATTTGTATACAGATTTTACAGGGAAGGCTTTTTAGAACATAATAAGAATGGAAAGTGGAACAGTTGTACGTAATGGCACCCAGATTCAGATACAGGATGGAGAGTTCCTGCATCCCCTTAGCCACTGACTTCCACTATTTTCCTAGACAGACTATTTCTTCTCTTTCTTCCATAGGAAAATTTATAAAAAATTACAAAAGAATGCTATTCAGTATCATCAGTGATATGGAAAATATTTATTGCAATCAATATAATTTAAACTATAGAAAATAAGGAATGATACCATCATGTTATAATACATGTATTTTGGAAAAAATAAACAATTTTATAATATTCAATTAGTATAACCATTAGTCCATCACCTGTCTCCATCTCTTAGCCGCTGAAACTGGGTAACAAGCAAGCACATAAGTGTGGGTCCCACTCGAGTTCCAGGGATCAAATCTTCTACCATGAGGGCAGGCCAGAAGTCAATGTTGTCTGGAGTGCCATATAATCTGAAACAGAAACGTGCAGAAATGACACAGTGTCTAGATGTGACACTGAAATTATTTTTTATACAAACAACTAAGAATATATTATATACACACAACAAGAAAAGGTAAATATTGTTATTCCTGTCTCACAGGTAAAATCTGATATGATTGAAAAATTTAGGGATCAGCAGCTGACACATATGAGATGGTGACTTAATCAAGAGTGTTCAACACCAAAGCCATGTGATAGGCATTGTGTTATCATTTATAATTATCCAACAAGTGGATACAGAATATATAGAATAACCATAGCTATTTTTCTGAGTGTTGTAACTCCAACTAGTTCTTTCAGAAACACATAGCCAATAAAAATTACTTTTCAAATTAGTGTTTTTATATTCTTCGTGTGGATACTTAAGTGTGGAATCCCTGAGTTATATGCCAGATCTGATTGTAATCTATATTCCCACCAAGAGCAGCATTTACTGTTTCTGGTCTTTTTGATATGAGTCATTCTCACTGGTTTTGATTTGCTTTCTCTGAAAATAATTGACGATTAACTTGTTAACATGTGACTGTTCAAAATATGTATGTCTTCTTTGGAGAATTGTCACTTCTCACTTGGGTTATTTGTTTTCTTTTTGTAAAGGTGTATGAGTTCTTTGTAAACAACTGATTATCATTCCCTTGTCAGTTGTGTGGAATGAATTTTTTTTTTCTCATTCAGAGGAGAGTCAGTTTTGATTACAATTACTTTCACTGTGTAGTAGTGTTTTAGTTTGATACAGTCTCATTTGTTGGTGGAGGAAGTATAATCTGGGAGATGGCAGAAGCAAGAACAAAGTGTAAGGACTACTGACTTATATCTGAGGCCCATGACACAAAACAGCTACAGCCTGAATCAGGTTCAAACATTTGACCTTCCTCATAAGAGAGTACTGCTGAATTCCACACTGGGATATTTGAAATACCTGACACACTCCGCCCCGTCCTGAGACATGCAAAATAGCTGACAACATCTATCCTGGACTGAAAGATCTAAAAACACTTGCCATCCTTTCCCCCAATGTTGAAACATGTTACACACTGAATCTGAAATAGTCTGGCTCCACTGGAGGTGATCCGTTGATGTACATTGTCCTCTTTTATTATTAGTACCCATTCTTAGTTCCAGTCCCTTAGCTAACTCTAGTACAAAACAATAGTTGAACATTTACCTTAACTGAAACTTGTGCAAAATCAAATTTGAAAAGACAGAAAAACACAGTAAAAATGTCAAAACCAAAAACCCTGAAATGAGCCTAGACTCAGTGGAGTTGTACAGCATGACAAAAAGGAATTCAGGGCAACAGTCTGACAGTGCTGATTAAACTTAAAAGGATATAAAATAAAGATAATGAAACTATAGGCATCTATAGTCATAGATAATGGAGTTAAGAAATACTATATCTGATTTTAAAATACAATTAAGTGCCTCAATATCAAACAGGACTGATGGAGAGAATTAATGAACTTGAAAACAATATGAAAACACAAGAATGGGGCAAGATAGAGAAAAAAAATGAAAAAGGAAACAGTAAAGGAAGTATCTGGAACAAGTTAAAGAGAAATAATATCTGCATAATGGGAATTCCAGAAGGAAAGCAAAAGAGAAAGGCGTAGGAAGTCTGTATAAGAAATGATTCTTAAAAGCCATCTCAATCTGACTGAACCAAAAGTTGTGATTCAAGAGAACCAGAGTTCCAAACAAAATAATGGCAGAAAACTTATAACACATAATAATAAATCTGTTGAAAACCAACAAGAAGCACATAATGTTAAAAAAATATGGAGCTGTGCTTTAACCCACTGCACTACCAGGGAGGGCCCATAGTCTCATTTCTTACTACTGTGTCTTGCAGTTCTTTCAGAAAGGTCTCCATATATGGGTACTATTCTATGTTTCCTTATTCTGTTCTATCAGTTTGCCTGTCTTGAATCACTACTGCATTATAATAATTACTAAAAGATTATCAATGTGTATTGTTAACTGAAAACAAAGTCATTCAACCAGATTCTTCTTGGTCATCTACTTTAACAAATTATTTTCTTTAATTCAGGTAGTATTGGTTTACAGAACTGTGTATGATTCAGAGGTATAGGATCATATCCATTCAGAAGCATATACATTAAATTGCTGATGCCACAGCAAAACACTATCAAGTTCTTAACTGAATTGCAATTAATATGTATCCTGGAGTAATGTTATTTAATTATTCTAAATTTTATTTTTATTATCATTTGATATTGCAATTTAACTTTTCTTTACTGTCCTTTGATTTACTGTGTTGAGATTTTGAAGGAAAAAAAACATTTTAATCTATCTAGTCTTTATATATTTCTCGCTTTATTATCTTGACTGATATTTCCATTAAAATATTAAATATGGATCTTGATAGTGTCAACTTTTATCTAATTAATATTTCAAATTACAGTGCTGCATTTTATTTTTAATCAGTTGTTTTCAATAGAAATTTAGGTTCCTTTTATTAAATTTGAATTTTTTTTTCTGAAAGGTTGAGACTTTCCTAAATCCAAGAGATGTCAGTTCTATAGAACGTTTTTCCACCAATATCTAGGTATACATATATATTGTGCAACTTGTATTTTCAGTATTTAAATTTATATTCTAAATTTATGAGATGCCTTATTAGGTTCATTTTTCATACTCATTTTTTTTTTTTTTTAATTTCAAAATGGTAACTTCCTTGGTGATGCAACTGCTTTGGTGCGAGTTTGGTCATGGGCCAGGAAAGTGATCCATAGCATGCAGGAGACCTCTCCTGTTAGGCCCATTATTCCCTTCAGCAATGTATTTGTTGATCTGCCTGTTCTGTTCCCCACTATGTCTCTGGTGAATCCTCTCAGTGCCCCTGCACTTCTGGCCTGTACCCCAATTCTGTATGCATAAGCAAAATAAATATTAAAAAAAAATTCAAAATTTTACCTAAGCTTTCAAAGTTAGTTGCATAGTATTCTGAATTTCAAGTTTCCATTTTCTCATCGAGAACTCTGGGACTGAATGTAATTATAAATGGAATACTAAGTTCAATTTGAGGAACATATGTCAAATACTTACTTTGAAAACTTCCTTCTCATTTAAACTCATAACATCTAGAATGGTTTCCCACTGTACTTTGTTTCTTTTTATTGCTGTTCCCTACCCTGCATTTCCAACAAAATAAATAAAATATATTTTATTATATTAAAAGTAAATGTTGACTACTGTTATAAATCTACTTGTACTCTCAAAGATATGTGAAATTCTAATCCCCAGTACCTAAAAATATGGTCTCATATTTAGAAATAGCATCTTTGCCAATGTAAACAAGTTAATATAAGGTCAGTAGGATGGATTTTAGTCCAATATGGCTGAAGGCCTTATAAGACAGATACATGAATTTAGGTACACATTGAGAATGGTTTGTGATGGCAAAAGTAGAGATCACTTGCTGTAGCTGTAGGTCAATAATACCAACGACTGGTTACAAAACACCGGAAGCTATATAGCAAAAGACAATATAGGTTTCAGAGAAAGCACAGTTCTGCTTAAATCTTGATTTCAAACTTCTAATCTTCAGAACTTTGAGACAATAAAATTAGTTATATTAAGCCACCTATTTTATGGTACTTTAAGATGGTACTCCTAGCAAACTAATACAATGACAATCTTCCATATTTTCACACTCAATCACTCATAGTTTGAAAAATAATTTTCTGCCAAGTTGCTACTATTGCCCTGTTATTAGCTTCTTTTGAATTAAATGTAATCTTTGGGTTTTCTTATATTATTTTCTTAGAACAAGTAATAAATCCTTTTGAATGCTTAAAATTAAATTACATCATATATAAAACAAGGATCAATGGGAATAACTTAAGGTGAAATTAATGCTCATGAAATCTTCATATCCATGTCCATTGAACAATGAAATTTCCTAGATGATAGAATCAGGTTTTCAGTAGTTCAATATCTGTTTCTTGTCTCTTAACTAATTTGGCAAAGTATTAACCATAGTATCTTAGTCACATGTACCTATATTTGAAACAATAACAATGATGTGTTCTTACATTATTAGAAGGAAGTTTGAGATCAATACTGAGAACATTTCAATGACTAATCTGTATTACTCAGGATAATATCAGGTTTACTTTATTATTTTTTTTCAGTTTCTGACATCTCTCTTTTCTTGGTTATAGTTTGTCATTAATCAAATATAAATCAGATGTGTATTAATACAATTTTACCTGTCAAATGTCCTCCCTCAAACGAATACTCACAATATGTGTACATGTTTAAAAGCAGTAGTAACAGAAAGAAGGGATGGTTTTGTTTGTGAAGAGTTAATAATTTGAGATTACATATGCTCAGCACTGGTCCTGAAAGAAAAATGACAGGTCGCACCAACCTCAGCTCCACTGATTGCAGGGCAATGATGGCTCTAAGTATGTTTGACCAGGACATAGCCTGAAACAACTACAGCATTAGAGAGTACAGAGTAGCTAGAGTGAAATCTGTCTTCATAAAAAAAAAAAGATACATTTGAGTTTGATAACATTTAACTGTGTTTAAATGTAGGTTCTAGTATATTCTATATGTACAAAGTGAAATAATAAGAGTAAAGACAATTTAGTTGCATTGAAAAAAATTACTTTTATCATTATTTTGATGTACAAAGAGTTGAAAGAAAAGATTTGCAGACCTTGAAATGAGTAATTTCATGCCATAAGGCTACGTTGTCAATCCGTATCTAATTTCACAATGACAGTTTGACTTAAAACCTCCTTTAGAAGGACGGACAATAAAAAGAACTTTCATTCAACTGGATCATTCAGAAAGACAAAGAGGTAGAGGTCTTATGTGGAATATTTTCAGCGCTACAAAGGCTCACTTGTTTCAGAGAGTGAATAATAGATAATACAGCAACATGTGATGTTAGCTAAACAAAAAAGGCTTTACTACATTCACTGAAAAATGCATTTTA